TCCCCCACCCCCGCCCCCGCCTGTCTTACGACGATCGATAGAGGAAGGGCCAAAGTTCTTTTTTACCTGCAATCTCACAGTAACCAAATTGTACGTATATTGCACAACCGTCTAAAAGTTTCGCTTCCAAATGCGATCCGTCGCTGTAATCGAGGATCAATGACATCGCGCTGCGGTTTTTTTTTTTTTTTTTTTCTCCAAATGCTCCGTTTTCCCGAAAAATGCAAAAAAAAAAACGTCGAGGTATCACGCGCCTTCCGAATAAACTGATTTACTCGCTGTCTCGAATTTAAGCCGATATGCGAGATATTCATGGATTAATAATAAAGGTCGGGGATATCCGAAGGAAAGCGGAGGAAGAGCGCGAGAATAAAACGCAATAAGTTGAAGTCGAAACGCGCATTCTCGGCGCAAGGGCGTCGCATTTCGCGAACAAACGGCGCGTTTCTTCCCCGTCACCGGGCTCTTTTCTCTACCACGACAACGACCGTGTTCCCTTGCCTGGCACCTCCTCCTCCCCCCCCCCCTCGAGCTTTTCCCGGCCGAAGGAAAGGAGCGTAATACCGGTCGAGAAATCGATGGTCGCCCGTGTCTTCCTTTTGCTCTCGGTTCCGTTCGCCGCCCCCCCCCCTCCCCTCCCCGTATTCCCTTGCCTTAAGGCGTCCACCTCCCTTCTCGCGCCACCTCCCTTCGCCCTCGTTTCCTCGCCCTTCTCCTCCACCACCAATTTACGAGCATCTCGAAGTATGCCCGCTATAGCTGAAAACCGGGTGGCGTCACGGGCTCGCCCGGATATTCCGAACACCGTACGGATGACGACGACGATGTCGAATCTCGAATAGATATCTTTACGACACCTCGATATTATCCGCGCGTTGACTCTTTATTTTTGTCACCCGTATTATTTTCGATCACAATTTAATTCCGGTAATTATTAGGTGACATTAACGGAGTTCAGATTTTCACTTTATAAATTGAGGATCGATATCTGGGAGGAAAACATTATTTGGAAGAAATTTACGAGCGGCAAATACTCTGCACATTTTTATTCTAACATCTATAATGGTTTTATTTTGCTAAATAAAAATTTATTTACTTACTGTCATAAAGAAAAATGTTTCTTTATGACGATAAATTCCCTCGATTCTATCGAATAATATTGATAAAAGTTGAATATGTACTCGTAATACGGAAAGAATAAAAATATGCTCAATTAACAATTATATTTATAAACATCCCTATATACAAGTTGTGCGTGATGTATATAGAAAAGAAACTGTTTTGAAAAGATTGGTTAAGCCGTTGCTGCAGCAATAATTGTAGGCTTGGTTATACCGTTGTTTGGCTGGCCCGGGAGATGCGTCTAATTATACATTCATTGGATATAGGTGATAATTTCGGCTAGATTCTAATATATTTCAACATCGTGCGCATGCTACGCGAGTTGAAAAATTGTGAAAATTATCGAAGTTACGTGGAAAGGAACATTCGTGGAAACTAAAGTATTTGATTCAATTGTATATCACTCTCTCTTTCCTTTCGCTATTAAAAAGTTTTGATGTCGTTCGGATATAATAAACTACAACGACGCTTAAGTTGTAATCGTATCTCGAATTTTCAATTTTTTAAACTAATTTGTTATTGTATTTGAAAATAGAATTATTGCGCGATAAATTGTGATTTTATTATTACAAACGAAAGCAACTTTAATTGGAAATGAGATGATAGGAAAATTTCGTCATATTCGAGGATTGATATCAATAATCATCTATCGTGACATTTTTATTTTTAGAAATGTGATTTGAAATATGATCAATAAGCAAGAAATCACACTTCCGTCACGTTGTTAAATTTTGCTTCTAATTTTAAAACAAAAGCCCGGAAATATATTGATTCTATTGCACTTTCCGTGATGAAAGAAATTGACCCTTTTAGATGTGATAAAAGTGTAATGTTCAACAATGCAAATAATATATCGTAAAACATTGAAAAGTAATGTACAAGTTTTACAGAAGTAGAGTTATTGAAATTTTCATATTGAAGATATTGTAATACGAAACTCGGAAGTTTCGTTAATTAGTCTTGGGGTTTTTTTCATTTTTAGTTTGCATCAACAAGCAAAGGAGTAGCAATAATAGCAATAGTAGTCGGAGATATTGAAAGGATTGCTTTTCTGTCGCAGTTATTCGGAGGATAATTTCCGGCGGCAAAGAGCTTCTACGCGGCTTCTTTTGTCAATTACAAACGAGAGGTTTCGCACGACATCACCATTCACGAATCTGAGAGCGCAATAAAAGCCATTGTAAGAGTTTCTTTGTCAACTGCTTGCGATGCAAAATAATTGTGCAAATTCCATGGATATCGAAATATTGTTTAATTGATAATTGCGCGTTACAATTTGGCGTATATTTGCAATGATTTCGTATATTACTAAATTAAATTTATTTTTTTTCCAAGTTATTATGAATGAATACCATGAGCAAAACCACTATTGATATTTGTTGCTTTGTAGAAAGCACATTTTGTTATTTCGAATAATATTATTTTGTACAATAATTAGTAAAAATGTAAAGTTTATATAATATACCTTGCATATTTGTATACATAAATAGATTTATCTCGTTATATAAAAAATCAAATTTTTAATGAAAAAAATAAAAAAATATACTATATACATTTTAAAGATGATGTATTAAAAACATCGTTGAGATAGATGAGAAAGAACATGATTTTAGACTGTATATATTAATTATACTCCAATTCTTTTTTTTTTAATCTGTTATGAGCATCCACGTATCTTAAATGTCCAGGTTAAATATAGAAGAGGCATTTTACGACGATCCTCTTAAAGGACGGCTTATAAAAGTAATAGGAAGCCACTAAAAAAAGATACACGGAAAATGTAGGCGCACACATTAGAAATGTCTTTGAAATATTTAAATCGGATTATCTTTCTTTCTTCTGCCTTAGCACTACTATCATTCGATACTCAAGTGTTTTCTTTATCCATCTTCATCCATTAGATTAACGAGGATAAAGACGCAGAATTATTTACACGTTACTTTCGCCATCATTCAACGGATCGATCACCACCGAGCGACCCTAGAAATCCTGAATGCTTTGCGAGGCTCTCCAACAAGACCGTGTACGAACCTGATAAGAACAAGGGGCCAACTTGAATCAATACGTCGCCGATAACGATCGCGTGACGACTCGTAGTCGCGAATGAAGGCTATTGTGTGTAGACCAGACCACGGTGAATTTTCCTTATCGAGTTTATTCCGATTGTAACATGATAATGTGTAGAAAGGAAGTAGGTATGCATTAGAATTCTTCTCTATCGTTACAATGAATAATACATTCCGCTGGAAAATAATCGATTACGTGTCGCACGTGTAAATTTTAACGAGCACAGGCTCTTCTGTGAATTTCGTGCGAAACGTAAACATTCTTCGTTTGTGTATATATTGTTAATATATACACATTTATGTTTGTATACATTTTCTCCAGTATGGAAATTCCATTTTTAATAGAATGAGAATGAATTCGTCGAGCGCGGATTCCTTTTGCGTCTGAAAATGCATTCTGCTCGCGTGAATAGCGACAGAAAATGCATTGAGGCGGCCCGCTCGCGACTATATATATATATATATTTAAGAATTAATAAGTTAATAACGGTAGAGTAAAAGCCGTTTCAACATTCTATTCGAACTGAGAATCCGTTTATCACTGAACGATGCACTCGCGCTTTCTCTGAAATGACGCTTTTTAAAGACTTAAAGATCGAAAAAGAAAGAGAGAAACAGAGAAAGATAATTTCGCACGGTAGGCGGTATACTTGACACCAGCATTCGATATACAAATATCAACGAAACGCCACGAATAGTTGTAGCTCGAAACGATTTCCGGAGAAAGACCGGAAAAAGGTAACGGAAGATGAAAAAAATCGCTTTGCTCAAGGATTAATTAACGTAATGGCGACGACGTTAATCTTATTCGCTGTCTCGTGGATTCGTACGTATGATAATTATGCTGACTGTATGATAATAGCACCGCCGCCGCCGCCGCCGCCGTCGCCGTCGCCGCCGGTGCATCGTCTAGCCTAGCATCAGCCTAACCTAACTCAACGTTGTAACGATGTATATTTATACAACAGCTGGGCGGCGGAGGGAGGGGAGTGCGCCAGTCAGCTGATTGAAGCGCTGGAGGGGAAAAGATGGAGGGGAGAACGACCTTTATTTAAAGCGCCGCTGGAGGAAGCCTTTCTTCGACTGGTAAACAGTCGTCGAATGCAAATACGTGCGAGCTGCGCTCGTGTGCGTGTGCGTGTGCGTGTGCGAGTACTCGTGCTCGGAGTGTAATGTATAAATGCGATTTTTTTTATTTATTTATTTATTTATTTATTTTCGTCGAGAAATATTTCACGACGAGCGCAAATGTTTTCCACTGATGATCTGCTCAATTGCCGCAATTACGCGGAGGAATTTGGAATATCTCCGATCCGAGGGGTGGGGGGTTCTGCATTGGCTATGTAAGTATAGGAAATTGTAAAGAAAAATGAGATGGTATAGAATCCTTCTAATTCGATGATTTGCATCAGTACAATCGTTTAGGAAAAATGATTGACTCTTTTTTAAATGATGGGGTTGCGATTGTAAATTACGACGTGGGATTAACATTTAATGGAAGAGTCTAATCGAGCACTTAATTGAGTATTTTATTTTATCGAATTGATGTAGCCAATCCTCAATGTGCGCTTAATACATACATTGAATGAAATTAATTTAATAACGGTTTTTTTTTTGTTTACGAAGCATTACGATATTGTTGCAATACGTTTTACGATGCGTTAATAGAAGAAAGTGAAAAATGTCTCCGACTAAGACGAAGACATTTTTATCACACCTCGGAAATCATGCATATTTATTGAGTGAACAAATAGTTTTTTAATCCTTTCCGCCCGATATATATATCGACCGATATAAAAACGCGCTCTCGTCGTATTTCTTCTCGAACAATAATCTGCCGTGTCGCCGGAGCTTCGCGCCTCGCGAAAGATTTCGGCGTACCGAAATCTCGACGCGCTGGCGTCGTAAATATCGTGCGCGGCGCGAAACCTGTTCCGCGTCCTCCTCCCCCTCGTCGTGTTTTTCGAGATAAAGAAACAGCCAGGGCGCGCGGAGTCCTTGGCGATGCGGCATCGCGGGATTCGCGCGAGAGCGAAAACTTCTCTAACGAAACCACCGGGTGGACGTGCGATGTTTCAGGGGACTGGCATGGAGAAGGAGAACTCCGCATCAGGCGGGGGCGGTGGAGGCGGCGGAGGTGGCGGAGCTGAAGCGGCGGCGGCGACTCCGGGCGCCACCTCCACCTCCGAGAAGCTCCAGGCGGACCAGGCCAATCCGTTGCTCGATCCTACTGCACTCTTCGGCGGTAAGTCATTTTCACTCGTTCCACTGCCTTCTTCTTCTTCCTCTTCTTTTTTTTTGGATTTCTCTCACGTTTCTCTCTTTCCCGCACTCGTACCGAACCGTAAAACTACGCGCGGACGCGCTACGTCGCGATAAGCGGCATCGTTATGCGAAGCGGCGAAGGTAGATCGAGGAAAGAAGTCCGATAATAGGAGAGCATTCTCCGCGCTCTAATGGTCGGGATTTCTTCAGCGGGCAGGCTAGTTCTTATCTGTAGAATATCCAACATCTACATTGTAATCGGTTATCTTACGATATAACGTTCGTCTGACAGTTAATTACAGCCGGGGAGATCGGCGAAAACAGCATAATGTTCCGAGATTGCAGATTCGGAAGGAGGAAACTCGCGAATGGACGGGGGGGACGATGCGAGTGATTTTTTTTTTTTACCGGCGGTGCAGCAATGACGTTCATTAACTAATGATCTCGTTTGCATCTCGTAACAAATCATTCCGCTTTGCCGCCGGATACCCAATGACACCCTTTTCCCCTTTGTTTTTCTAATTTAACCGGCGCCGGGGTGATTCTATTTGATCCGCACGCAATCGTACGCGATATTGTTTAGACAATATACGGGCAAATATTTTCCGTGTAACTGACAGTTTGCGGGATGCATGTGTTCGGTGTTTCGAAGGGGTTACGCGTGCGAATTCCGATGGCGTATTTGTCGGCGTGAGTTATATAGTGCTTGTCCAGGAGGAGGTTTGCTCCTGGACGATTCCGATTTCGGTCGCCAAAGCACGTTTCCGCGACGGATAGTGAGAAGCGGGTATCTCGTATACGATAGGGTTGTAAGTACATAAACTGGCAGGTTGAAAGGTGCAACTGAATTCAACAAAAAAAAAAAAAAAAAAAAAAAAAAATGATAGAAGCGACAAACATTCTTTTTTCCCCACATGTACATCTTTTATGCCTTACAATCATATCTTTCTTACGAGATTCTTTTATATATTATAGATTATTTTCTTTTCCTCTGAAAGAGAAAATAACGTTTATCATAATGTTGACGCTCTTCCTCGCTTTTCTTTATGTACATTTTATTGATAAAACTTCCAACTGAATTTTTCCATCTATTTCAGATATATTCTATTTTCTCAATCAATAATGAGATAATAATACTCGTCACGTACTCTTGTCTGCTCTCAAAAATCTTTGTGGAGCGGAATCTACAGTGAGTCAAGTAAGAGCGTGGTCGAGTTGTTAGCCTTGATGTTATTAGCCTTGAGATAGGTTCGAATAGTTTCATACGATATATCTAAACCTTTCTGCTTCAATTTTCCTTGTCCTTGATGCAGTGTTAAGCCAGGATTCCGCGGAAACAGATTCACTATTTTTTTATCGTCTTCTTTCGTCCACTTTGCATATCGCGCCGCGTTCCGGTCAAATCATCGACATTTTTTGCCGCATTATATCGCCGCACTCACTTCTGTGCGAATGATTTCGACTCTTTCATATATTTAGCAGCCGCTAATTGTTGACGGCTGACATTTTCGGACCTTTCGGGTGAGTGCAGAGAAACACAAGCGTGAGGAACACGCTTCATAGCACGATGCGTATTTGGTACTCATGGCGCTTAATGTGATTCTCTTAAGAAAGTTCAACGACAACTGAATCTTCCTTGACAGTGCATCGAGGATAAAGGTGCTCTCTGTGGATTCGTGATAGATTTAGGGCGATACCTTTTATTAGCTTTGAGTAAGGCCGACCACGCTCTTACTTGACTTACTGTAATTCTAAAGAGTGAAATCTCACTCTCTTAAAAATTGACAATTGGGCCTCTTCCGCAACACTGGCTCAACTCTTTAGAATTAGATTCCATTCCAAAGATTTTAAAGAGTGAGCCGTCTAATGAAATCGAAGATCGAGTGAGATCATTTCACGACCTAAGACTATTTTCCCCGCACCGTTACGACGCCGTTGCACTTGCCGTGGATTTACAGGGTCGTTCGAAAGCCGGATGCGGTGATGCAAAACGGGCCCTAATACGGTCTCGCGCGTCAACGCGATATATATCGGTGCTGCCTTAACGAGCGAAGAGCCTCTCCC